TCCTCCTCCTCCTCCTCCTCCTCCTCCTCCTCCTCCTCCTCCTCCTCGAGGTGGTTTTCTAAGTCACATGAAGAATGAGAACTAAATTCACACTACGTAGAGAAGGCTGGCCTTGAACTCACAAAGACCTGCCTGCTTCTGCCTCTGTTTGTTTGTGAGGATTACAGGCATGCCCTGCCATGTCCACACTCCCAGTTTTTAAATAAAACTCACTGTTTATACAGTAAAAAAGAAAAGTAAATTAAAAGCATTTACTAGACCAGACTTTAAGTGCCTTTGAATCTGGATTCAGACTTTGTACACTGGAGGCTGGAAAGGCAGCCCAGCGGTTAAGAACACTTGCTGTTCATCTGGGTTCAGTTCCTAGCATCCACAGGGCCGCTCACAACTGTCAGTTGTTCTGGTTCCAGGGTTTCTGACGTGAGTGCAGGCAAAATCACCTAGGCGCATAAAATGGAATTAAATAAATTACTTTAAAATGTGTACATGTCCTACTTATTCCCTTAGAAGCTGTGGCGGGTAAAGGGGGCTGCAGAGGTGGCAGTCCACGCAGAGCACTGCCCCTCCACATCACCCAGGTCACTGTCCAGCACCACACAGCAGCCAATAGCCGCTCGCGACACCAGGCCCATGGGGCCCCACACCCTCTCTTGGCCTCTGTGGGCACTGCACGCCTGATGTGCACAGGCATACACGCAGGCAAAATGCATAAAATAAAAATTACATCTCAAAAAAAAGAAAAAGGATAACTATTTCCCAAGCTGAGGAAGACCCAGACAAATCCGAAAATAAAGATAATTGTTTTGTGAAGAACTGAAAACAGGCTAAACATCTGAAGTCTAATCTTTCATTTCGTTCTGGTTTTGAGACAGGGTCTCACTAGGTGACCCTGACTGGCGGCCCCTGCCTCCCAGAGCTAGAGAGCTAGTTTTAAAGGTGTGCTGGGTCCCTGAGCCATTTCAAAAAAGATTTGTTTATTATTTACACAGTGTTTTTTCTGCATGTACATCTGCACAGCAGAAGAGGGCAGCAGATCTCACTATAGATTGTTGTGAATCACCATGTTGCTGGGAATTGAACTCAGGTTAGAGTTCAATTCCAGTGCTCTTAACCTCTGAGCCATCTCCCCAGCCTCCAATTGCCCTTTTTGAGACAGGGTTTCTTGTTGCTGAGGCTGGCCTTGAACTCATGATACTCTTTGCTTCACATTCCAAACGCTGGGATTACAAGCAAAGTCTTATTTGGGGATGTTACTAATTCATTAGAGACTCTGAGAAGAACAAGTCTCTGGACCTCAGTTTTCTCATTTGTAAAACATAGAAAACGGGGCTGGAGAGATGGCTCAGAGGTTAAGAGCGCTGGCTTCTTTTCCTAGCGGTCCTGAGTTCAATTCCTAGCAACCACATGGTGGCTCACAACCATCTATAGTGAGATCTGGTGCCTTCTTCTGCCCTACAGGCACACATGCAGGCAGAATACTGTATAAATAATAAATAAATCTTTAAAAAAGAATAACAGTAAAACGTAGAAAACTAGCAAATGGTTTCACAGCTCCCTTTCATCCTCACGTGTGTGTTATGGAGCTGAGTGGCATGAAATGATCACCTGTGACATTAAATGACTAACTGACATTTGTTGAGCGTCTGCTTTGCGAGGTAGTGTACCACATTTGTGCACGGGTATTAAAACAAAGGTGACAGGCATAGTGGTGCACACCTTTGCGTGGGGGAGGCAGAGCGAGGCAGATCTGAGTTCAAGGCCAGTCCGGTCTGCAGAGTGAGTTCCAGGACAGCCAGGGCTACACAGAGAGACCCTGTCTACCCCTGGAAAAAGAAAAAAGAAAGAAAGAAAAAAATGAAGAAAAGAAAAAGCAGAGAGAAAGAAAGAAAGAATCGCCTTGTCTTTTGAATTTATGTTCGCTAAGAACCACTCTCTCTCACACACCAGTATAATCTGCACAGGCTTTGCCTGCTGTGGAAAGGCTAACTGGGTAATAGGAGCTGAGAAGGCAGGACGAATTCTAGCCAAGGGAACCAAGTGGGGCTGGGCACGGTGACATACACCTTTAATCCTGGAACTTCAGAGGCAGGCAGATCTCTGAGTTCAAGGCCAGCCCAACCTACACAGTGAGTTCCAGAACAGCAAAAGATACACAGAGAAACCCTATCTCAAAAAAAAAAAAAAAAAAAAAGGGAATCATCATGATTTAAATGGCTTTTTACCTTCTTTAAAAAATTATCCCAGCACTGAAAAGGCAGTGGCAGGCAGATCTCCATGACTTCTAGGTCACCCATCCTGGTTTACCTAGCAAGTTCCAGGTAACACAGTAATGCCTTGTCTAAAAAACTATGAAACACAAGGAAGTCAGGCTAGGTTGTTCGTGCCTTTTAAAAACTATTTTACTTGGGTTTCTTATGCCTCTCCCTCCCTTCTTCACCCCTTACCCCTCCTAATACCTTCCAACACCCCAGCACTAGGTAGGAGAGAAAGGTTACTACTTCCGGCTAGGTAGGGTTGTTGGGCTCCCTGGGGCAATGCCTGTCTCAGCCATCAGGATGTGTGGAGTCCAGCAACCCAGCAACAGCGAACGCAGTGGAAGGACATAGCAGCAACCACACGGGGAGTGGCAGCCTGCTTTCTCAGAGTGTTCTCTTTGGAGCCTCACTTCCTCGGAGCCTCCTTCCTCTCTCTCTCTCTCTCTCTCTCTCTCTCTCTCTCTGCTCTGGTCTTTATCCCTCTCAGAG